ACCATCTGTTTATAAAGCCCTTTTCCATCATTATCAATTAATATTTATTGGGCAACTACTGAGTGCATAGTAATATTGTGTAAACAGAGACCTCTCTGCTACAGATAGACTTATTCATTGACTTGGTACCGTTTTATTTTGATTAGAAAATGGTAAAAAGAAAAAAAATCAGGAAGCATAAAATACCATCCTCTAATTGTAAACAGTGAAAGATGTTGTATATTTACAGGGCATTCTGCTCAAATACAAATAAAACTTGAGGGATTTTAAATTAAATTTTTCTAATTATCTGTGATCTTCTGTTTGTCAACAATTCTAACTCAGTGGTCCTGTATTTAGAAAGTCAAATGAGTATCCTATTGCTCTGGGATTTCTAATAAAACTATGAGTCTCTTTTTTGAGAGGAAACTACTCAGATAAAAACAGACCCTCCACTAAGAGCTTTTGCTTTTTGATTTTGAAGGAAATCCTGGAAAGTGCACTTGTTGGGCTCACATTTAACTTTACTTGCAAGATTTTTATTAAGTAAAAGATTGCACAAAAATACACTCCATTCCAGTAAAAGCAATGGCATTTTAGGGAATAATACTCATTACCATTGTTGCTTTTGTATTAAAGAAGGCAAAAGACTTGTGTGTCTTTTCAGCATACCAACTTTGTAGGCAATGATTAAGGTTTTGTTTTGCAGATTGGCAAATTTAATAACATATAAAGAATGAAATCTTGACAGTAGTCAATAGGGGTTTTACTTCACAGTTATTTTTATAGTCATGGTAGTGGATCTTGCTGATTCATCCAGGATCTCTGGCTTAGCTAGTCTTCCATGTGGCCTTTGGCTAAGGTTTAGGGTAAAGACTGTGACCATGGAATAGAGCAAAGGGAATTGGCTCTCATGGTGATTGAACCCATGACCTTGGTTGGCTCTGTTGGCACAGGGGGCCCCAGCCAGTCCTTGATTCCTTAAATATGGACATAGTAGAAACAGTAAGTTTCCTTTATAGGTCAGCAAGAAGTGTCCAACTGTCCTCTCACAATAATTTCTATAAAAGCCCTTTGGATTCCTGAAAAAATAAACACCTTATCATAAGAAGACCAAAAAAAAAAAAAAAAAAAAAAAAAAAAAAAAACTGGGGGCCATTCTCAAACAGAAGCTTTGAGTTTTATGTTTCAAAACCTCAGGTATCTTTGAAGAACATCATTAAGGATTACAATTGCCATCAGAAGTAATACCAATGTACTTAACTACATGATACTTGATATTACTCTGTCTTTTGAAAAACAGAAATGGTTGCATCTTGTGATTCCATGCACTATGTGCTTACCAGTTCCATCTGGAAAATACACATACTTCAACTGGCACAAGTTTTTAGAATTTCCCCCTTACTTTGATATCCTGAAAACCTGTATGGTGTTATAATAGTAATGATTACTGTTGGATTCTCTTTGGACTTTATCATACAATTTCTACTTTAACTTACTAAACTTTTTTTTTCTTTTTTATAATGGTAGATGTTGGTATAGAACTTTTGTTCCTTGGTTATGGCTGAAAAACAAATTTCTTTGAACAATTTAAGTAAAATCTATCTGGCTATTTTTGAGTTACATATTGGTTCAGGGATTTAGAATGTGAATGCATTGTTTTCTGCCTTGAAAAGAAAGCTAATTTTTTTTGTTTTGCTTGGTTTTTGTTGGCACAGATAATCCCCAACTGGATGAACTTAAAGGCTAAAATTTTCCATGACTTGAGCTAGTTCTCATGTGGGAGGAATCTCTAACTTGATTTAGGAAAAAACAAAATTTAGAAATTCACAGAACTTGACAGAAATAAAATCTCTGTTAATTTAAGTGAATAGTACTAGTTCTGAGCAATAAAATACTGCTGCATTCTGCATATATATTCCTTTTCAAAATATGTATTATTCTATTGATATTTAGAGCTATGATTTAGGTTTCCAAATGAGAATTTGAGAAATAGACACCAGATTTTCATCTTTTAAAAAAATTACAGTTAAATAAGTTTCTTATTACAGTATTTTATACATACTAAATACTTAATCATTTTTTTCTTGATTTGAAATATAGCAAATGTTCTAAAATCTATTTAAAAATTTTAATACACATAAATATAAACAACTTTTAACTTTATAGTTCATGTGGTCTTATTTGGATCAGAATAGCATTATATTGCAAAGCTTAAAATGTTGGTTGACTTTTATTTTGTGCCTACGTGAAGAATTTAATTATAAAAAATAGAGTCAAATGAGCTATGAAGCAATGAAAAGACATAGAGACACTTTAAAGGCATATTATTAAGTGAAAGAAGCCAGCCTGAAAAGACTACATACAGCATGATTCCAGCTCTGTGACATTTTGGGAATGAAAAACCATAGTGACAGTAAAGAGATGAGGTAAGGGATGCATAGGTAGAGCACAGAGGATTTTCAGGGCAGTGAAAATACACTGATTCTGTCATGATGGATACATGTCATTCTATATTTGTTCAAACCCTTAGAGTGTACAGCACCAAACATGAACCCTAATGTAAATTAAGGGTGATTTTAATGTGTCAGTGTGGGCTCGTTAGTTGTAATAATGCACTACTTTGTTGAAGGAAGTTGATAATGGGGGTGGTTATGCATTTATGTGGACACCGGTGTATATGGGAACTCAGTTTCCTTCTCAGTTTTGCTGTGAACCTGAAACCAAACCAAACCAAACCAAAACAAAAAAGAAAAAGTCTTTAAAGATACATAGTAAGAGTAACAATTTTCTGATGCTCAGACTTGACTTCTTCATTCTTTGTTACGGGGGCGGGAAGGGGGTGATCTGACTTGGAAGCTGTACCTTTTAAAGTGTAATGTTACTGACCTGGTGTTTGATTTGAGCATTTGAGCAGAAACTTGTTTTTCTATAGTCTTGTTGGTTTACCAGTGAGTCATCTACATGTTCTTGCTCTTGTGACCAAAGGCATGCACTTGTAGCATTGCTGGATGATTAGGATGAGACCGGGTAGTTTGTGTTCATCTTTTATTTTTTTAATTTATTTTTTATTAATTTCCGTGGCCTTGGTGGGAGTTATCATAGGACCATTATTTCATTCCAGCTCCATAATTCTTACCCAAGCTGGCTCGTCCCTTTACTAGACAAAGGACCTTTAATTCCCTATTTGTTCTTTATTTTTGAGTGTGTTATTTTTTTAGAGCCTCTTGGTAAACATGCCTGTTGTCAGAGTTGTGGGAGCTTTTATGGTCAGATGAGATGTCTACAAACATTTTCCTTTTCTCCTTTCCCTTACTTTCTGAAAGAAAAGGCTGCTTCCCCCCCACTTTTTTTTTTTAATAAATAATTGAGAATTCAGAATCCTCTACCTTCAAAGAACTACAGTAGTATAATACTCAATATGTTAGTCTTTTTAATGGAAATAGGTATACTTAAGGAAAAGAAGAAAAATTGTTGTTATTAAAGATTTAAATGTGCCCCAGGGACCCACTATTAAGGCTCAGTGTTGTTGCTGTAATCTTAAACATGTAAAAGACAGTCTGCATCCTGGAGCGGGCCCCTGATAGCTTTAGAGCTAAACTGCTTTTAAGGAAAAAAACGAGCTTTAAAAAGCAAAATAACATACTAATAGAAATTCATTGACATGTGATTTTTTCCCTCTTTTTATAACTGCTTTTACTGGATCAGTTTTAATATAATTTTCAGTTTCTTGACCTAAGTCAATGGGAAGGGAATCTAGTGTTGCCTTTTACACTTACCAGAGGTAGTAAATGAGTTAAAGTTTATTATTAAGGTTTAAAGAAATAGCTTGTAATTTCGATTCAGTTAGTTTTTAAAATCTTCTCCTTGAGTGTTATTTGTGTTTTCAGGTGTTTAAAAGCTCATTAAAATATATGTAAGGGGCCTTAAGAGTTAGATTTTCTTTCTTTGTCTTTGATTTTAAACTAGGTAATGCAGAAAATAAGTTCAGTATTCTGTGCTAGAATATTGCATGTGTATTAATTTGTTTACTGACTGATGGTTTATAGGAAGCAGAAATAATGTTCAAACTTTATGACATTTCTAGGTGATATGGTGGAAACGTAGTAATTTGCTTTGGGTTCTCTTTAAGACCTCACTTTTGCTCTTCTACTGAAAACAATATAATTTAAGTTCTCACTGACTAAATTTTTCTAAGACTTCTATATCTGTAGAGTAAAAGGAGAAATAAGAAAGGAGGGTGTTAAATAACATTTTGGGCACCAAGTAGAGCTATAATAGAGGGGTATGTTATTTGGAAAAGAGATATCACAAGTAACTGGTCAGATGTGGAAGATAGAAAGTGAAGAGGAAAGGAAATTTTATTGCAGATTCCTAGGTAGCCAAAAGAATTAGAGGTTCTTTTATTCAACTAGCTCATATATGGAAATCTAGATTTTTAAAACATTGACTTTCAGAAGAATTATGTTTCTATGAGGCATAATTCCGTGTACTATAAAACACAATTTGTTTAATTAAAGTTCAGCTTATTGATTTCTATTTAACATCAAGTAAAAGTATTAATATTTATACTAATTATAAGAAATGAAGATTAAATATTTCTTAGCATGAACATGAAAATAATTTCTCACATTGCCCTTTAAGGGAATGAATTCTGGTAACTGATAGATCTTTACGGGGGTGGGAAAGTAGGGGTGTTGGGTGTGATTACAAGTTTAAGTGTTTGAAATTGAGAACTGGAATAGAAGCAAACTGCTTTGCATAACCTGGAGAGGGAGATATAGAAGCCTGTGAGGAAGGTCCAGAAGGTGCAAAGAAAGTAAACATCGAGGGTGGACAAAATTTGAGGGAACAGGGAATAGCCCAGAAGAATTGCGAGAACAGCCAGTGTTTGGCAGCGCTTTGATGAGTGTACTCCATTGATCTGTAATAGTCTTATGTAAATTCCAGCTCCTAACAGTGTCTTTTGGTTTTTTATGGATTTTGGACTAATACATATTTTTTCATATCTTTCATTCTAGGCACTGAAGAAACAAGAAGCTAAAGCAGATGAAAATGAGGGAGCCATGAAAAATAAGCTAAGACAGACTGAAACTGAGAAGAATCAAGTAAGGTTTTGAAAGAGTAATTCTGTTTGTAGCCAGTGATATTTGTTGAGTGCCTTGAAAATTGTCCCTGGGATCATTTGTTAGGACACGGTGAAGCCTTATGTTCTGATATGGAGTCACTTGGTTTGGGCTCTGCCATTCTTTGTTGCTTGTTCTGGGAATGTGTACAGGTCATTTGCTACCTTGTCATCTTACACTTCCTCTCTAGAGGTGACTTGAACTTTATTATTCCTTGCTGGGGAACATGCAAGGAGCTTGACTTTGCTGAAGTGTTAGGAAGACCTGTTGTTTAAAGGGTGGGTATTTTGAATATATTTGTTTTCCTCATAGAAGAAAGGTGTAGGTGCAACCTACAGGAAGAATCCCCTCTTTTCATTAGATTTTAAGGACTTTTGGCATATATTCATGTCTTCGCTCATATAGAGCCTCGGGCATTAGAGTTAGAAAGGAGTTTAGAAGACAGACAACTTTCCTCAGTTTACAAACGAGTAGATTTAAGGGTGAGCCCAAGGTAACAAATGATAAAATGAAAATTTGCCCCAATGTAATGTTCTTTACTCCATATCACTTTTGAAATCTACCATTACTTCCTTGATGTTTATGCACCAACCTAGTCAAGTTAAATGACACATCCACGCTGCCTTTGTGGTAAGCAGTTAGGTTGGGTCGTCACGCTTGCCCTCTGGGGGTTGAGGCTGCCAGAATTATCCAGCGATCGTGACCAGTATGGGCTGTGGTAGATTCTGAAGCCATTTGGACTGAAGTGTGATTCCTTCCCTCTTTATTTCTCCAAATAAAGAAGACAAGTCAGATAATATTTTGTGTGGATTCTGATTGTATACGTACCTTATTTTGTTTTTAGAATATGATATTTTATTGGCCACATGTCTAATTTTTTAAAAAAACTTGTATAACCAGATTTAAAAATGATTTTGAAATAGTTACAGATTCATAGGGTGTTGTAAGACAGAATGTACAGAAAGATTGCACATGCCCTTCACCCACTTTCCCTCAGGGGTAACATTTTGCACAATTGTCATTCCATATCAAAACCAAGAAATTGATTTGGTACGATTCACAGAATTTATGCAGATTTCAGCAGCTTCATGTGTGCTCATTCGTGTGTGTAGTTCCGTGCTGTTGTATCTCATGTATAGATTCATGTTACTGTCAGCACAGCAAATATGTAGAACCGCATACCCCCTTATGCTAACCCTTAATAACTGTGCCTCCCACCTGGACAGTATTTGAAGGACTGACATATAGAAAGTAGTTTGGTCAAAGGAAATGATAATTTAGGATAACTATCACAAATCTAAGCACTTAATAACATCTTAATATACATTTGCGATTTCACAGAACAGCCTTACTGTTAGAAAATGCAAACATGTCAAGCACATGTATTCTCTGGAATTTTAACAAACATGTGTCCCCTTTGTAGGGGTGAAAAAGTAATTTTCTCTTTACTCTTTGGATTCTTTGGCCGATTTCATAATTAAGTTGACATAAGACAGATTAACAGGAGAAAAACAAATTTGATTTTGTATGTATAGAAGCTGCATAAAAATAACAGCCAGGCAGTTGAGGTGTATATACCATGCTGAGCTAAGGAAATGGGTTACAGGTCTGGGGCTTCAAAGGAGAGGAAAACAGGTCATAGGAAGATGAGAAGGGCAAATGTTTGGTAACCAGATGTGTACCTTGTCTTACACAGAAGTCTTTTAGGTGTGAAAAGTTCTGTCTGGTAATAGCTCTCTTCCTGACACAGACTTTCTCTAAAGTCTTTAATGTAATTAAGGGGGAGGCAAAAGCTTTTCCTGAGTCTGTTGGGTCTTGATTGCCTTCAGCTCAAAAAAGCCGTATGTCAAAGAGGCCTATTGTGGGGTGATGTATTCCTCTCCCCTTCACATCCTGTTTGATCTTTCAGCTTGTAGGAGGCTAGGCGCATTCAGACTTTGTAAGTATTTGATCATTCAGTTAGCACATTTTCTGTGAATATTTGTCTTATGACTATATTATTAAGGAGATTTTAAGTATCTTACTCTGAAATTAAATATTTTTAAGTTTTAGGAATGTTATGGATATTGGAAATATTAGGAACGTTAGAATATGATGAATACACAAAATCACCAATTAGATGAAATATACTTTAGTCATTGGGTCCTGGAAATTTTATTCTAATTCAGTTCCTATGACATTACATGCGCTAAAGAAAAAAATTGTTTTGGAATTTAGATGACGATGATTTATAACTGGAAGAAATCTCAGAGATTGTCTAATACAAAGTCCTTATTTTAGAGATGACAGAAAAGAGACCTAGGAAAAGACAGTCATAGTTAAGATGGAACTGACTTAGAAGTCAGGCCCCCTGAGGTCTGGTCTGGTTCACTTTGTTGTTAGGTACATAACATTATTTTCATAGAAGCATCAGTGTGTTTTGATAGCAAGATGTTTTCTCCTATTAGCTGTAAATATCTTCTGAAAAGTTTTCCATTTTTCTACTCTTAAACTATGCCCATAATAATTAGTTATTTTCTGCCCCACTGGACATTTTTCTTTATCCTCTGTTGAAACTCTAGCTTGAACAAGAATTGGAGCTATCTCGAAGGTTACTGAATCAGTCAGAAGGCAGCAGAGAAACACTTCTGCATCAGGTAAATCTATGCAAGCCATGATAATCTGCTTTTAAATTCAACCGGGATTGGAGTCCCTTGTGGTTCAGTCGATTAAGCATCTGACTCTAGATTTCGGCTCAGGTCATGATCTCACTGTTTGTGAGATTGAGCCCCCTGTTAGTCTCTGAGCTGACAGCGAGGAGCCTGCTTGGGATTCTCTCTCTCCCTCTTGCTGCCCCTCCCTCACTCATGCATGTGTGCTCACTCTCTCAAAATAAATAAACATTTAAATAAACTTTAAAAAGCCAACTAAATTAGGATTGAGTCTCCTTTTCTATTAAATGCCTCTGTGAAAGGAAAAAGATCCCATCTAGGTCTAGAGATTACTTTTCCCCCTTAAGGAATATATAGTGAAACACAAAGCAAAAGATGAAATCCTTTCGGGAAGAGTCAGAGAAACGTAGTACAAAGTGTTGGCCCAAGTTCCCACTGTGTCTTGCTGAATGCTGCTCCAATTTAGGATTTATCTCTCCTAACATAACCAGTGTAAAAATGAGACTGGATGCATGAGATAAAATTTTCCCAGGAGCTTAATTTCATTCAAGGAGGCACTGGAGAGTGAAGGGAGAAGTAAAATACATGAAACAGACCTTTGCATATTCCAGGTTACTTTGCATTATTGTCTTATATTTATGGTTTTCAAGATGCTGCCTGCCCCTTTTAACCAAAGATAAAGCTTAATTTTAAAGCATAACATTTTGTAGCCCATTAGCCTATAATGAGAGTTTGGTTCTTCTATTTAAAGTTCAATAACTTGTAGTAGTCATTGTACATACATTGGATAAGGGCATATGTGTTTCTAATCGCCTCTCTGTCTATGTTTAATATAAACGGCAGTTGTGCCCTTCTCTGTTTTGAGGTGTGGCTTGCAAAACTCACTACATAGTATGCTAGGTTGGCAGAGAAGTCAGGCATCTTAGATGCTCAGAAGGAGTATTACATTTTGACAATTAGTGCTAAAAATATACCATAACACCTATTTCACAAAACCTTTAAAAATGTTCACTGCCTGTTCTGCAGCCACTGTTACAATGGAATTAATGTTGGCAGAGTTCAGGTTTTCTTTTCTTTTTTTTTTTTTTTTTCAAGTTTATATTGTCATGTCCACTGATTTTTTTTTTAATCTTTTGGTACTCTGACTCGTGATTTCTGATCTCATCTTTTGAAGTAAGAGATTACCATGTTCAGGTTGTCATTGACTGAAACTGAGTCTTTTTGATACTCCTAATTTGTTTAGTGGTCGGTCACTGGGGACTTACCTGCTATGTGTTAGGCAATTTGCCAGTCTTTAGAAATACAGATGAATAACATAGTTCCTGACCTCAAGGAGTTTATAGTTTATTCAGCAGCATTTATTTCTTACTTACTTTGAACAGTACTTTGATATTATAATATGCTAAATTGCAGTCTTTTCACTCGAGTTTACCAGTGAATAGACCATATTCACATGAAAGAGAAGGAGTGAAAAATATAAAAACAATTATGGAGGTGGTTTGGGTTAATAGTGGTGGAGTGCATTGAGTTCACAATAAGGGATTTTTTTTTTTTAGTGTCAAATTCTTTGTCCTGATAGACACAGAAGGGGAAAAGACATTCATTCTTTGTGGAAGTAATGGGAGGAATAAAGAAAAGGAGCGAGAGACTCTTCCACTGTGCTTGGCATAACAAGGAGGTTCACTGGGCTTTAGCCTGTGCTGACAGTAGCCCATGAGAAGTAATTATTTTTCCCTAGAAAAAATAATATAAAATAATTTGTAAGTTCAGTTATCCTTTTTCTGTGTTGAAAACTGATACAGGTTTTATTTTTGACTGTATGTGTTTAGGTAGAAGAGCTCCGTATACAACTTTTGAAAGCAGAAGGTGATCGAAAGGGCTTACAGCATCAAGTATCTCAGATTTCCAAGCAACAGTCAAACCATCAAGATGAACAAGGAGATGACTGGAGGTTTAGGAGAGGTACAGTTGTGATTTGTATATGTGTGGGTTGTTTTTGATCTTCCTTAAATACTTTCCACTTTCAGAATTGCGTTTCTTATATTATGCTTTTGTCATCTCATTTCTTGATCTACTACGAGATTTTCAATAAGCTAATCATAATTTAACATCCATTTTTTTTTAAAAACAGACTGTACTTTTTAGTTTTACGTTTACAGCAATATTGAGCGGAAGGTACAGAGATGTTCGCTGTGCCCGCAGCTGCTACATGTGCATAGTCTCCCCCATTACCAACATCCCAACCCCCCCAACCTCTGCTGGAAATATGTTTGTTATAACTGATACACCTTCCTTGACACATCATTCTCATTTAAAGTCCATAGTTTGCATTAGGATTCACTCTTGGTGTTGTGTATTCTGTGTGAGTGGACAAAAATATAAATGACATTTAGACACTATTACTATATCCTAGAGTAATTTCACTGTCTTAAAAACCCTTTGTGCCCCATGTATTCAGCCCCTTCTCCCCCCAGCACTGGCAGCCACAGATCTTTTGACTGTCCCTATGGCTTTGTCTTTTCCAGACTCTGATATAGTTGAACCATACAGCCTTTCAGATTGGCTTCTTTCATTTAGTAATATACCCCAGATTTTCCCTGATGTCTTATCATAGCTTGGTAGCACTCTCTCTTACCTTTCTTTTCTTCCAAGCATTGTCTTAATGTACCACAGTTTATCTGTTTCACCTACTGAAGGTCATTTGGTTGCTTCTAAGTTTTGGCAGTTATGAATAAAGTCACTATAAAGCAAACATCTCTATATAGATTTTTGTATGGACATCCATTTTCATCTACTTTGGGTAAATACCAAAGAATATAGTTGCTGGATTGTATGGTAAGAGTCTATTTAGTTTTTTAAAAATCATGTCAGCTGTGTTCCATAGTGGCCTTAACATTTCTTCATTCCCCCGGTAATGAATGAGAGCTCCTGTTGTTCCAGATTCTTGTCAGTATTTGCAGTTGTCTGTGTTTTGGATTTTGGCTATTCTAATAGGGTTGAAATAGTAGCTTGTTTTAATTTGCATTTCCCTGATAACATGTGATGTGGAGCATCTTTTATTATTCATATTTTCCACCTGTATATCTACCATGATGAGATTTTTGTTAAGGTTGTTGGCCCAGTTTTTAGGCGGTTGTTTGGCTTCTTGTTGAAATTTTATGGCCCTCCCTCTTGATTATTATTTTATATAACAGTCCTTTATCACCTATGTCTTTGGGAATAATTTCTCAGCCGTTTCATTCTGAAAATTTTAATGTAGTCCAGCTTATCGGTTGTTTCATAGATGATGACTCTGTATCTCTGAAAAGTCGTCATCAAACCCGAGGTCATCCACAATTTCTCCTATGTTTTAAAGATTTTATAATGTTGTGTTTTATGTATGGGTCTGTGATCCATTTTGAATAAACTCATGTAAAAGGTGTAAAGTCTGTGTCTAGATCCATTGTTTTTGCATGTGGGTGTCCAGCTGTTCCAGCACTATTTGTTGAAAACAGCCTTTTCTGCATTGTATTGACTTTACTTCTATGTCCTTTGACAGTCAGTTGACTGTTTTTTATGTGGGTCTGTTGCTGGGCTCTGTATTCTGTCCCATTTTTTTTTTTTTTTTTTTTTTTTTTTTTTTTTTTTTACTACTACTACACTGTTTTTTTTATTGTACCTTTACAGTGAGTCTTGAAGTTGGGTAGTGTTAGTTTTCCAACTTTGTTCTTCTCCTTCAATATTATATTGGCTGTTCTGGATCTTTTGCCTCTCCACGTATCTTTAGGATTAGCTTGTTGATATTTACAAAATAACTTGATGGGATTTTGACTTGGATTGTGTTGAATCTGTAGATCAGGTTGGGAAGAACTGACATTTGGCAATATTGAGTCTTCCTATCCATGAATATGAAATACCTCTCCATACATTTCATTCAACTAGGATTTCTTTCATCAGAATATTTTAGTTTTCCTCATATAACTTTTGTTAGATTTATATTTAAGAGTTTCATTTTTTGGGGATGTGAATTTAAATGGTATTGTTTTTAATTTTAAATTTCACTTGTTTGTTGCTGATCTGAGCATCCATTTTTAATGTTTTCCTCTGCTTTATTTTTAAACCCATTTCAGACCTGCTTAGCTTATGGGGCTTTCAGCCAGAAAGAGCCAACAAAGCTGGTAGTGGAATTTTTTCCAGCTTCTTATTTCCATACCTAAGTGTGTGTGTGTGTGTGTGTGTGTGTGTGTGTGTGTACTTGTCCTTATACTTAAATTGGAAATAAACCTATGTTTTCACTTTCTTTTATTACAATTTTAAATATTTACAGTTAAAATTAAGATTCTGTCTTTTTTGTTACCCAGATCCTGGTGACAAAAATCAGTCATCTGGTAGAAGTGGTTATGAACCATATGACTGGCTTTGTCTTATGTAGATTAGGAATACTTTGTGCTTGAGAAATGTTGAAATACCTTTTTTAGTGGTGGTGTTGATTTAGGCTGTGGAATTTAATGAGTCTGGGTGTATTTCTTTTTGGAAGTTCACTTGTAACAGAAATGGTAATATTGAAATTTTATAATGGTTTCTAATAGACTAGTCCAGATTGTTCAGCTGTAAATTATTTCAGTATTGAGGCTTCCTACTCAAATGCCCAAATTATTGGAGAAACTCTTGTAAGCATTTGGTGTACTATCAAATTCAGGGAAGATAAATATTTTCCCAGATTCCCCACATATAACTCAGTATGTTGCCTAAGTTAGAATTTCCACATTGCCAGAAAATCTTCACTAGATGGCAAATTCTGACATACCTATCCTAACATAATTACATGCCATTAAGTTCCCTTAAGTTTCATGTGATGTTATAATTGAAATACATTTTGACACCAAATATTTTAAAATTTATTTTTAAAAGTAAACTCCTAAGGTTTTCGATTATTCATCAAATTTTCATAAAGATGTACATAGGAACTCTTATTTTGTTTGGAAAAAGACTCTGTGGAACATGTTATATGTTTTCTTGCCTCATAAAAATCTAGTTATTTTTGGTATAAGACTTTGAGTACTAAAAGAGTCTGTTTTCTTAACTGCTTATCAGGTTTAAAAAACATCTATATGTTCTCTTATCAGTATAATAGACTTCTTCACCTTCTCTTAACAGTTCGAGAGTTTTCATCTTTATAGATACTTGTATTATTTTTTAAAATTCTGCATAAGAAATCACTCATTGTCCTTTATCCAGATAGCCAAGGCTAAAATACAAAGAACATCCAAAATTATTCCTTCTCTTCTCCATCTTTTTCATCCCTATTTATAGACCCTGATATTTCGCGAATTTGGCCCATCTTCTTTTTTATTCCCACTACCCCAGTTTTGGCATGCTCTGTCTCATTTGTGTTATGCCCTTAACTTGTTCTAGTTCTGTGTAATCTGTTTTCTATACTGTTAATACTAAAGGGATACTTTCTAGGCCACAAACCATTCATGTTACTCTTGCTTAAAACCTCTCCTTGTAAGTTATTGACCTTTTACTGCTTACAAGACACTTTGCTACTCATTTTACATTGTCTCCTTTAGTTCTTACAACTACTTTATGAGAAGGGTACTAGTCTTGTTTCCATTTTAATTATTAAACAAAAAACAAAAAAAAAGAATAAGGAACAAAGAGATTGAGTACCTTGCCTAAGGTCATATTGGTGGGAAGTAACAGATCCAAATCTTTGTCTCCCCTAACCCGAGTTTGTAACTACTCTCCTGTTGTGACTCATTATGTTTGTAGAAAGTGTTCTTTAAAGTATCGCTTATGAGACAATCCTCTGGGTTTGGGAGGAGAGTGTTTGTAGTACTGTTTATATTTTATACTTTATGTTTTAAGTATTTTAATTTTGCTAGATGTTTCATTATTTATTTGTGTGTGCTTAGCTATACATATTCATACCAATTTATATGTGTCTAGATTATGAAACTTAACAAATTATTAGGTCTCAAATTAAATATGCATGTTACATGAAATATGTATTATGGTGGGGCCTGGGTGGCTCTGTCAGGTGAGTGTCCTACTCTTGATTTCGGCTCAGGTCATGATCTCACAGATTGTGACTTCGAGCCCCACATTGGACCCACACAGTGTAAAGCCTGCTTGAGATTCTCTCTCTCTCTCTGCCTCTTTCCTGCTTGCTGTGTACTCTCTCTCTCTCAAAATAAATAAATAAACTTAAAAATGTAAGATATATATTATACATATGTATTATACATGTATTCATATGTATTAATACTTCTATATTTTATATACTATATATTCCTGTTACTTTATGTATATACACTAATGTGTATCCTGAAATGTACACCTCTATATAGATACCGTGGAGATATGTGTTATATGTACACACATATACATACATACATATCTACGTATAAAATTTTAAACATATATTTATAAAATTGATAAAGACATTTATACATAAACAAATATTGCGTATTTTCACATTGGAGGCCTAGCAGGGGTGGGTAAAGTATGACCCAAGGGGCAAATCTAGACTTTTGTAAATAAACTTTATTGGAATATAGCTATTCTCATTCATTTATTCACTGTCTAGATTACTTTGGCAGTACAATGAGTGACAGAGTTGAGTAGTTGTGACAGAGATCATAAGGCTAAAATATTTACTATTTGACCCTGTACAGAAAATGTATGCAAACTTCCTGGTCTCTGGGATAATTTCTAAGCTCCCTCGCCATGTATAAACATCTGCTGACTCTCCCTCTTCCCTCCTTCTTATGTGGTAGTTATGTAGAAGTATTGTTCGCAGCTACCTCAGTATTAAATCCAGTATTGTACCTGTGTGCTTTTGGTGCTTCCTTTCCCTGAATTATCACCCCAGCTCCTTTGCTTGGTGAAATTCTGTATTCATTCTTTAAATCCAACTTAGTTTCCAATTCTTTCTTCTTTAGTTTTTCACCAAGATAGCTAGTCACTTTATGTAAAATCTTGGTTTGCAAACATAATTCATTTCAGAAACATGCTTGTAAGCCAAAGTACTTGTATATCAAAGTAAATTTCCCCATATTGGAAACTCAACACATCTACAACTCAAAAATATTCATATAAAAATGATTACAGTACTATAACACAAAATAATAAAGAAAATACAAAATGGAAAGAAAAATAAAATTAACCTGCACTTACCTTTGAAAACCTTTGTGGCTGGTGTGAGGGAGACGAGAGAGGAGGGTTATTATGTAGGATGACTTTCACTTTCACTAAGGGAATCACTGCTGTCTGTTGACTCAATGGAATCTTTTTCTTTTCATGCAACTTTAACAAGGAACCTATCCAATGACCTAGAATGAAGCAAAAATTCCTAAGCTTACTCTTGCATGGAAAAGTAAAGGACTGTCCGTAGGTGCTTTGAAATGACAAAAAACTAGTGCCAGTTGTGTGCACCTTCCAACGTTATGAAAAATCACTAATTTCTGCCAAACACTGTGGCCTGAGACCAAGTATCCAACCATGGGAGAAGATCACCCACAATCCCACAGGGAGCAAATGAGGGACAGAGAGAGAGAGAGAGAGAGAGAACGAACTGTTGATTCAGTTGTGTTCAGGTGACGTTTGATGTCATGTACTGCTTGTATTGCATGACATTGCTTGTTTATCAAGATAAAATTTATTAGAAATGTTTGCTTGTCTTGCAGAACACTCTCAGAACAAGCTACTCACAATCCAAGGATTTACTGTATTTCTTTCTGTGTGATAACTGTGTCTGTAAAATCTGTGTAGTATCTATTGTCATTGCTTTTATCTTGCTATTAAAAATGCCTATATATTTTTCATTCATGTACATACAAGATGTGCAGTTTTGAATTGTTTGATATCTCTCAGTTCAGATGTGTCTCGTGAATGATGTATAAATTGAATTTGCTATTCTTTCCCTGTTTTCCTTTCCTGGAAAGGAAACTGCTGGAAAAATAGTAGTTTTAAATTGGTAGTAGATGTTCTAATTTTTGGTATCTTAGAGTGCAGGAAGTACTTTATTCATGTGTTTTATTTCTGTTCATGGAGTGTAAGTTCATTGTGAAAGGGTTTTTGTGGTGTTTATCTGTGAAGAAGATGGTATTACAGTGTCCTGTGCATCATAGACCAAATATGCTGACTTAAGTACTAAGTCTGTTTATATTGTTCAATGATGATAATTTCAGGTAGTAGCTTCCAGAATTAGTAAGTTAACAGCATCATTTGTTTATTTTGCAAGAAGTCATCATTTTGTGTGTCAACTTCAGTAACTTTCAGCTAAATAGAACTTAGTTGAAAATTCAGTATTTCTGTATTAGAGTTTGGAGGTAGGGATGTAAAGAAAGTTAAAGAAAAAAAAGTGTAGGATTTTCCTGAACTCAGTTGTTGAATTGCTAGAACTATGAGAGCAGTTCAACTTTTAGTATCAAAATGGAATAATACTGGAAAACACCTCAACATACATAGTTTAGAAAACTGAGTGAGACTTGAAACAATGGACTCGCAAATTCTGAACAGTCTGTAGAGACAGTGTTAATAAGCGGATTATGTTAGCTGGAGTTTTCGAGCATCAGGCCTTTGTACTATTTCAAAGTACGTTCTCCTGTGAGTGCAGAACAACCATCAAGCTTTACATTTTCTCTTTCAAGGGGTTGAGCGGGAAAAAGAGGATCTGGAGAAGCAGATGTCAGATTTGAGGGCGCAGCTGAACCTCAGTGCAATGGCATCTGAGTTAGAGGAAGCGAAGCGGTGCATGAAGCGGAAAGACCAGGAGAAAGCACATTTTGCAGCGCAAGTAGAGGTGACTTTGCTATTTTCAAGCTGTATTCAAAGGACGTTAGTTTTGTTTCATAGAATTGCTTAATGAAGTTTTAATGTAAAGTTTGTGATATTTTATGAACTCTAGTTTGAGTATATGTACTGTAAAGTTATGTAGATGCCTACTTTATATATAGAAATGTCTGGATTCATTTATCTTTCATTGGAATCTTAAAGCCAGGAGCCTATGAAACTTGAAAGTATTTTTGTTCTAGTAGCACTTGAGCCCTTCCTTCAGACAGAAGGTACTTTATTTGAAGGAATGGTGAATTATCATTTATTTGGCGGGTCAAACTGGCAGACAGCATAGCAAAGAAAGTATTACTGATATTTCTGATATTTGGAACCATAAAGGTTTTTAAAACTCTGCTTGCTGTGTAAGAGGTAGATTTGCCCTGCCTCCATTAATTTAGGGTTGTGTGGGAATCGTGAATGATGTGGTAATCATGGTAGGTAGCTACCATTTCCCATTTGCCTTTTTAAAAATTGTTTATTTTTGAGAGAGAGAGAGAGAGAGCGAGAGAGAGAGCGAGAGCAAGCGCAAGTGGGCAAGGGGCAGAGAAAGGAGGAAACCCAGATTCCAAAACAGGCTCCAGGCTCTGAGCTGTCAGCACAGAACCCAATGCGGAGCTCAATCTCAGGAACAGCGAGATCATGACCTGAGCCGAAGTCGGATGCTCAACTGACGGAGTCACCCAGATGTACCCCCTTTCCTTTTGTCTAGCATAGACAGGGTAATTAACTGAAAATATGAAAAATCAAAAGAAAAACTTCATAAAAGGGAAATGTCTTAATTCCAATTATAATTATGTAAGTTAGACATGGATGACACATTTGGAAATAAATATGTATCAGTCTTCCCTCTATGTCTGTTTTTATTAGTGGAGTTGAATTCTAATTGTATGTAACAAGGTGCCACATTTGAAGGATTTTCTAAACTATAATGAAAGGTAGAAAATTGGTGTTAAAGATATCAAACTTTATATAATCCAAAGGAAATATTTAATGTTATTCCAATCTGAGTTTCTCTTTCATCTTGGAAAGATGAATTGTCTTCATTTTCATCAATGGAAAATGTATTTTAGATTTGGTTCAAGATTGAGATTGTAAAGCTGATGAAATATTGACATACTTTTTACAAAGTCTTCTACATGTATAATAAATACTTACCAGAAATATGATCCGAGCAATTGTAATTTAGAACTTCTAAAGTTTGCTTCATGGGTATTATTTTAACCCTTTAGCCTATTGACAAAAGTGCTATAGTATTATTTTGCCAAAGTTAAGTATTAAAAAAAAACACACTATAACTAGTAAATATCAAAGGTAGAAAAGTTTCTTGGCTAACCTATCTATAACCACATATTCATCTGTCCTTCTTCCCTTCCTTCCTTTTCAATGTTTGATTTCATTTACCACTTGCAGAATCAATTGAAAAAAGAAACTAACATAAACATTTAAAAAAAAAAATCACTTATAATAGGGGCGCCTGGGTAGCTTAGTCAATTAAGCGTCCGACTTTTGCTTAGGTCATGATCTCGCGGTTCTTGGGTTCGAGCCCTGCGTCGGGCTCTGTGCTGACTGCCAGCTCAGAGCCTGGAGCCTGTTTCAGAGTCTGTGACTCCCTCTCTCTCTGACCCTCCCCTGCTGACGCTGTCTCTCTCTCTCTCCTAGAAATAAATAAAACATTAAAAAAATTTAAAAAAAATCACTTATAATAACCTAATAATGCTCTTGTTCAAAGAGCCTGGCTTTCCCCTAGCCTTAAAATAGATCTTTTGCATTTTCACCTGGATTAGGGAACAACTTGGGAGTTCTCTGAGATTAGTTTGAATTGATTGTACAGGTATAGATATGAAAGACAGTTGGACAGAGAGGTTGAGCATTTACTCACATACCAAACACTTAATGACTGTCTATTACACGTCAGGTGCTTTTGTAGGTGGTGGTGACCTGACAATGAACAAAAACTAGGCAGATTTCCCTGTCTCAATGTAGGTGACATTCTAAAATTGATGCAAAAAGTTCTTTGAGTTTGTCTCAAGTCTAATTCAAATTCCTTTTGGAGGATGAAAATGCTTTTCTCCCTGTTGCCATTAAAACAGTATTATAAAAAAGATACTGCTTTTTCTGGAAGAAATTCCCATTGACCAGTTTTTTTTCCTGACTTTATTTTTAACAATAAAATAATTAAATTTATGTCCATTGTTTAAGATTAAAAAATGTTTAATGTTTATTTATTTTTGAGAGAGAGAAAGAGACACAGCATGAGCAGGGGAGGGGCAGGGAGAGAGGGAGACACAGAACCTGAAGCAGGTTCTAGGCTCCAAGCTATTGGCGTGGAGCTCAAACTCATCAACCATGAAATCATGACCTGAGCTGATTTCGGATGCTTAACTGACTGAGCCACCCAGGCACTGTTTCGATTTTGTGACACTTCTGATTATAGCTTATTTTTCATACCTTGTGAAGGCCCTTTGAATATCTATATTCCCAAGCTATTCTCAGAATGACATCTAATGTAGCCTTTGTGAAGGTATACATCATGGATCACTCAATGTGATGTCTATATTTTATTGAAATATAACTGAAAAGCACTTCGTCTCTATTTTTGAGAAATGTCCAGTAGTATTTATTTTTCAAGAATATTTGGTGTTGCTTTATACATTCTTTAAAAAATGGAGATTAATCTCTGTTAGTTGTCTTTTAGAAAGCAAATATGAATAAGACAAGATGCTCAGAATGTGACTATTGGTCAGGCCCCCAAACATATGCATAATACTCTCTTATGTCTTGTTCACTCAGGAATCTCTCTCTTTTTAATGTTTCTTTAATTTTGAGAGATAGGGAGACAGAGAATCCTAAGCGGGTTCCACACTGTGAGCACAGAACCCAGCTTACAGGGCTTGATCCCAAAAACCATAAGATCATGACCTGAGCTAAAATCAGAGTTGGATGTTCAACTGACTGAGCCATCCTGGCTTCCCTAATCTCTTTTCCTTCCTGAAGCCTTCTTAGACTGTATCAGCTGCAAGGGATAACCCCTCCTTCTGTACCTCATCCTTTTGCTCACATCACTAATGGTCTTATGGCACCTTTCTTACACTGCCTTAAAGTAGTCTGGGTACATGTCTTTAACATTTCAAAACAGGTTGAAATGAAGGAGAAAGGGGACTGCACTAGAAAGTTGCCCTGTCAGTAGGACAGATTTTAACTTGATGTCCTTAAGGACCTTGGTGAAGACCTCATGTTTCAAGGTTTTGTCCTCACATCTGGAAGCCTGAATTTTCTGTGTCCTAGAATTAATGTGACCCATGAAACTGGTTCATACTAACAATGAAACTTACCAGAGAGCAGCGTATAAAAGAGTGCCAGCCCATTGATGTACCCTCTGTGGGCTTCTTTACGGGTGTTTAAACACTGATCTCCTGTGCAGGGCACCACTCTCCCAGTTTTCTCTCCCTAGGTTTTAGAAAGTTGAATCAGTGACCAAAAAGTTGCTTGGTGAACATAGTGAGAGAATGATTTCTGGAGAACTGTAGTTCTGGGCTATGGTAAGACTCTCTCACCCTCCACCTCTCCAACAGAGTCCTTGTAACCAGAGATCTGTTTACTTCCCTAGATTCCTGTCTTTATTTCTGGAGTGTGTTGAGCTGATTTTTTTTTGTCTTTCTAATAGTCTTCTCAGCTTCCATTCTGATGCTCAACCTTCTGTTTCCATTTTCTTTTGACATGTTGCTATGCACAGATTTTGCTCTGGGCTGTTTCCCAGTATGCATTGATGTTGCAATTCAAACTTGTGGCATTCTGGAAGCCACTTATGAATTAAATACTTATATCCTTTTCATATCATAAAGGAGTATGGGTTAAGAACCAGGTCTTGTCTCTATATTCCTTTGTGCCCCTTGACAGTGTCTTACCCATGTTAAGTGCTCAGTTAATATTTGTTGACTGAAATAGTGAATTATAGAACATTTTTGTGGTTATGTTTTCAAGTTAACATTTGTTGTCTGGTCATTCTTTAAAAGCATGTTAAGGGGCGCCTGGGTGGCTCAGTCGATTAAGCATCCGACTTCAGCTCAAGTCCTGATCTCAGTCTGTGAGTTTAAGCCCCACACCAGGCTCTGTGCTAACAGCTCAGAGCCTGGAGCCTGCATTGGACTCTCTGTCTCCCTCTTTCTCTGCCCTTTTCCTGTTTGCACTCTGTCTCTCTCTCTCAAAAATAAACATTTAAAAAATAAATAAAAGTACATTAATTTCTGGAAGAGTTGTCAGTATTCTAGAGCACCTTTGCTCTTCTCACTGATGGCCTCAGTTTTTGTTGATCCAGAGTATAAATTTTAAGCAGTTGTTTCACACAGGAGAAAAACCATGAAAACACCTTGTAAAAACTGGAATGAAAGGTGCATTTGGGTTTGCATAATTTACCTTTCAAATTGCACCTAAACCCTTAAATCTGTATATGCATAGAAAATACTAAGTACGTTTTTTTCTTCTTCTAAACTTGAGTTGAACCTCATTAACCTTGATGGGCTATTTGTATTCATAAGAATTCCAAGTATCCTTGATCATTGATTCCCCCTGATTTAATCTGTCTCCATCTTCCATCAACTTACTTTTCTTAAAAAAAAAAAAAATTTGACTTTTAAATTCAATGAGGAACTTCAAAGAAAAGGAGAAAAAACAAGGTGCTGTACATAATTTAGATTAAATGTTGAAAGTGATAATTGAGTGACAACTGACATGATTATTCATTAGCGGAAACTTGGGACTGTAATGCCATAATTTACTTTTAAAAAGAGGGTAGTGGAAAAGAGGAATGATAATCAATAATAACTTTTCTTTTTGATGATTAGTACATTAGGAACAGAAGGAAGGTTGTTCCTTTTAACACGCTTTTAAGATAAACTCTTGATTTTTGGATTTCTTAGACAAAGCTGGCTACTTTGCTATGTGCTTTGCTATAGTATTATACAGTACTAT